TAATTTCCTGGCTACTGCTGCCGAGAGTGTTGACTGCGGATATGCACATTGCTTTAATAAATATTTTAGAATGTTGTGCTTTTCTGTAACAGGCACAACAGATTTGTCTAATCTGAGGAAAAATAATAAATTGAAAGGGGCTAGTTCCTGGAAGAGGACATCATTTTTTGAAAGGCAAAAAGTCAATTAAAGAGAAGAGGACACTCAGCAGGATAGTGTAATATGGTGACTGCAACAAAGGTCTTGAGCATAGCAAAGACTGTGAGGATGGTACAGCACTTTGTCCTGATGAAAATCGAATGCTATGACTGCAAGTCAGAGGCAACTTAGGCGTACCTAACAACTTTGCCCAGAGATCATAATAAACTTTAGAAAGAAGAGATTAAATTACTTTTCTTTAATTTAAAAAAATTTATTTAATTGTGATTGTAGCCAAAGTTTATAGAAAGGCTAAGTTTTCATTCATCCATTTAAATACATTTTCCTCCCTCTTCCTCACCCAACTCACTCTGAAATTCCCATCTTGCTCCAGATTGTTAACTGTTGTACATGCAATGACTAATTATCCATTCCTTTCAGGTGGTTGTTTCACGTATTTTGAGAAAAGCTGTCTAGTAAAAAGTTTATTACTGATTGCTTATACCATTTAAGTTCTAACCTTAAACAATAATTTACAGTTTCAACTGAATTGAGCTTCTATTTAGTACTTTATTCTTTATGTCAAAGTCAGCATAAAGACTATGAACAGTACAGAGATGTACTGTTTATTTCCTCTTGCTCTACAATGTCCCTTACATGACATCATCTCCAAAAGATCCATGCCTAGCCTAGTTCTAGACACAATTTTACATTTCCTAAAGGTTCCTATAAAATCTTGAGAGTGAGACATAAAGGAAAAAGCCCATAGATAAAGATATCGCGGTGCAGTGGTAATGTATTAATGGCAATACAACAGTGTTACTCACATGCACTTCACAACATGAAGTTAAATTATTAAAATTTAATTCTTTTTAATGATTAAATTTCTCAGCAAAGGAAACAACAATATGTTCTCTTCAGACATATAAAGTCCAACTGATATCACTGCCATCATTAATAGTGCCAATGGCTGTCCTCAAAGTTAAGGGGGCCTAACAAAGCAACAGATGACAAAATTATAGCCATGTTACTTAACATATTTCCCTTTCTGCTTTCAAGAAATTCTAAATTATATTTTGTAGTCAAAAACTACCCTTACTCCGAGTACTATGGTACACTTGCCTTCTCTCTTCATTTCCAGTGCCTTTACTGGAATTTCCTCAAATCTATTTTAGATATGGTATAATTAAATACACTGGAATTTGGTATACTGTATCCACACTGAAAATGAGAAATACACTACTTTTCAATCAAGAAAGAGAATTAAATGAACCAACAGTTGAAAATATCAAAATGAAATTACAAACAAAAATAAGAATATAATTGGAAAATTAGGACTCTGGCTTCTCTTCATTCAACAAATGTAACTAGATTATTTTACCTTAATTTCAATCCTTGCTCTGTGAGGAAAAAGTTGTCCAATCATAGAAAAGTCAGTTCCCACCATGCTAATGGCTAAAAAGAACATATCTGTTTCTGTAAAAATAAAAGTTTTAGATGAGAAAACATTAATCTTCTAACAGTTTTAGAGAATGAACATGGTTAAAAAAATAAATAAATACATATACATTTATATAAATAAATAAATATATGAGTTAAAAAGAAATTTTATAATAATACTGGACAATTTTTCATTAAAGTGCAGCAATTCTTTGGTCACAAATACATTTAATTATACAAACTTCATGAAATATCTTAAAATATTTAAACTTTTAAAGAAAGCATCATATGTATTTTGTGTGTTTATACTAAAGCCAATTAAAAAAATACACCTCTGCCCACATGATCTCACTGAAAGTGCCCTTAAGAAAACTGTCCACTCATTCAGGCTATAAAATCAACTAGAATATGGTTAGTATGTAAAAAAAAAAAGCTATAAAATATGCAAGCATAAGGTATAAGGATGATTGTATGAAACACAATGCGAATAAATAGTGTGAAACAGTGTATATACACTTTGTAAGCAAACCAATTAAAAAATAATGTAAAATAGAATGTTGTTGTGAAGGGCCACCAAGTCATAGACTACTCATAGCAACCCTATGAACAAAAGACCTGAACAGTTATATAACTTTCATCGTTTCTCCAAGGCCTAGTGGATACAAAGTGATGCTACCAAGCCAAAGGTGGGTGATTTTAATCTGTGGCCCTCAGGCATGGTTTTAATTGTTTTTCGTCATTCTTCTATTCTAAGTGGTATAGTATGGTCTGTCCATTTGCTATACAAATGGTTACTGAGATGCTAAACATTCTGACACTGATGTGTCAACTGTGATAATGGTTACCTATGGTAGACAGTGTTTGGTGGAGCTCCCCAATTAAAACAAGCTTGGAAACAGAAGTGACATCCACTTCCAAAATAACTCCAGAAAGTCTATGAACTTGGACAAAGGATGAAAGTTATACAAGTGTTCAGGTCTTTCATTTATAGGGTAGCTACGAGTTGTCTACAACTTGACAGCACTTAAAACAACAAAAAATAGAATGTATATAAATAATTGTATGAAACAATGTAAATGAAAGATTGTATAAAACATATGAATGAAACATAATGCAAAGTAAATACTATATGAATACCAATTAAAAATAAGCTTTGGCAGGCAGATTCTTTGTTGTTGTTGTTGTTATGTGCCGTCGAGTCGTTTGCAACTCATAGCGACCCTATGCACAACAGCCCTAAACCCTGCTCTATCCTGGGAATCTGAGAACATTTGATGGTGCTTATGTGAAACCTAACCTTGGACCAAGAGGCAGTCATCAGAACAGAGCAAGGAGACACTACATGGTTCAATATTGAGAACAGAGCAAGGAAACAACACTGCATGGTTCAAAACTGAGAAGGGCGTCCACCAGGGATGTATTCTGTCTCCATATCTTTTCAATCTGTAAGCAGAACAGATCATCTGGGACGCTGAGCTATACGAGGGGGATTGTGGAGGAATGTGGCATCAGATTCATCATCAACCTGTGATATGCAGATGACACAACCCCACATGCTGAAACTGAAAAGGAACTGAAGCACTTGCCACAGAAGGTCAAGGACTGCAGCTTTCAATATGGATTGAAGATCAACATCAAGAAAACAAAGATTCTCACCAATGAGCCAATTGGCAGCATCAGTCAAGAGATGAATTGCATTGGGAAAGTCAGCTGTCAGGGACCTCTCCAGAGTACTGAAGAGCAATGACGTCAGGCTGGAGACTAAAGTGCACCTGATAAGGGATATAGTCTTCACAATTGTGTGCTATGCTTCGGAGAGCTGAAAAGTGACTAATGATGACAGAAAGAGAATTGATGCCTTTGAGCGGTGGTGCTGGAGAAAAGTGTTGAATATACCATGGACTGCTAGGAGAACAAATAGGTTTGTCCAGGAGAGAGTGAAACCAGGTTGCTCCTTGGAGGCAAGGATTCTGAAGTTTTGTCTGACATATTTTGGGCATGTGGCAAGGGAGGACCAGTCCTTGGAGAGGAACATCATGATAGGGAAAATGAAGAGACAGACAGCACAGGAGAGGAAGACCCTCGACGGGATGGATCGATTCAGTGATTGGGATGGTGGGAGTAGGTCTGTTGGAGACAATGAGTTTGTCACAGAATAGAGCAGGGTTTAGGGTTCTTGTACACAGATAGGGTCACTATGTGTCACAGGCAACTCGATGGCACTTAACAACAACAAAGTTTACATTATATTTAATTAGGAGAGACCTAGTTTAATTCATAAACAGAAAAAATAACATCATTTCAAATAAATAAGTTACACAATTTAAAATGAAAATTAGTTACCTTTATTTGACCATGGTTTGGAATAATAGTTTTTCCTAAAGCTGGAATATGTAGTTGTAGAACCACGCTCAAATATGGGATCATTTTCCTCAACAACACAAGGGCCTTTTGTCCGTAAAACTTCTACCGTCAAACTGAAATGCAATTAAAAGAGGTGAGGTGGAAAAAAAATAGTGAATGGAATCTGAAAAATTCTATTTTGAAATTTAACGTGGCAATCATCTGAACATTTTTTCCAAGCAACTGCCAATTCTCATTTAAAATGTGATCCTCAGGGGGCAAAAATAAATGGTACCTCTTTTCAAAATCCTCAGCAATAATGAGAAAAATTTACGAAGTTATCCTTGCATCCCTAGTCAGGGATTAATTCTGTAACTGGGGTAATTGTTGTGTCAGAGACAGTGAGATTGGAACAGGACAGAGCAGGGTTTTGGGCTGTTGTCCATAGGGCCGCTATGAGTCACAAGGAACTTGACAGCATATAACAACAACATCCTTGCATCATTTAAAAAAAAATTGCTTTGTTGGTATATGCAAGCCTTCCATTTTAAATATATATTATCATGCTAAGCCCTGCAGAGGGTAATCAGAAATATAAGCATTTTATATTTGTTTTACATTCTGAAGTTGAAGCATTAAAATGAGCTTTTCATTACTAAAATCACCACTACTGGAAAACAGCATAAAAAGTTAATAAATCAGCATTTATTACAATTTCTATGTATCATGGAATTTAAATGTTATAAAACTATTTTTCACTAACTAAACTCAGAAATTATCTTTCATCTCTCTTTTCTATTTATTTATCTTCTTTTAAAATACATATACTTCAAGCACCACAAGATAAACAACCCAGTTGAAAAATGGGCACAGGATATGAACAGACATTTCACCAAAGAAATTCAGATGGCAAACAAACACATGAAGAAACGTTCAAAATCCCTCGCTATAAGAGAGATGCAAATCAAAACAACTATTAGATATTATCTCACCCCAGTAAGAAGAACAAAATTTAAAAGAACAGCAAACAACAAATGCTAGTGAGGTTGTGGAGAAACTGGAACCCTTATTCACTGTTGGTGGGGATGTAAAATGGTGCAACCACTATGGAAGGCTGTATGGTGCTTTCTCAAAAAGTTGGAAATAGAAATTCCATTTGACGCAGCAATTCCACTACTGGGAATATACCCTAAAGAAACCGTAACTGCCAACCAAGTAGATATATGCACACTCATGTTTACTGCAGCTTTGTTCAACAATAGCAAAGAGTTGGAAACAACCCAAGTGCCCATAAACAAACAAATGGATAGAGAAGCTGTGGTACATTCACACAACGGAATATTACACTGCATTGAAAAACAAGGAACTCATGAATTACTATACAAAATGGGTGACCCTGGAGGACATTATGCTGAGTGAAGTATCTCAATCACAGAAAGTCAAATACAGCATAATGCCACTGTTATAAAACAGGACTGACATGGGGGCTGGTAGGTATCTAAGAAAAGAGGGGATAAATAATCTACATGGCATTTGAAACAGATAAGGAAGAGAACTATATAAAAGGAATATATGATTAAGTATTATTGGCACGACAAGAGTCCAGAATAAGAGCTTAATAGTGGAATGGTCTTGGGGGGAGTGGGGAGGACTTTATAACAATAAAAGAACTTTTTTCCCCAAAGGAAAAAAGCGGTCAGGGGTGGAGGGGGGAGCAGAGAGGAAAATATGCAATAATGAACGACTAAACTCAAGTTCTCTATAAACTTTCATTAAAATCTCAATTTAAAAAAAGTAAGAAAAAAGACATATACTTCAGAAAGACATCTAGATTCCAGAATGCCAAACCCGAGAAATTTCATTTTCTAAGAAACTGTACCAGAAGATAAATTAAATCTAACCATACTAAAACCTCAGAAAATATGTACCATAATATACATATTAGGTTCCACCACACATCAGAATATAATCCTAGTTAACAACTGGAAAATCTGAATGCTGACTTCTATAAGTCCAGTCCTAAAATTTCATAATTTATGAAAGATAGTGTGTGGTGAGGAACAGTCATTTCAATTACCAGTAAAATTAGTGCTTTGTTAATCTATGATAGGTTAGCACCATCTTCTCATATAAAATACAACATTTTAAAAGTCTCAACTGCAGCAATGAATGAATGGAAATCCAAAATCTCAGTAAATGTTCATTAAAATAATTAAAATTCAAAAAAAATTCCAAAAATAAAAATCGTATTGCAATGGGGGAAAAAAATCTCAAAAAAGCAGTAACTCTACTTTTCTATTCATAATATTTATTATATAGAACTTTGGGGCATAAGGGACAAGGATACGCATTAAAATATTGGATCTTTTTCATTAAACAAAGTTGTTCTCATGAAACCACAGTCTCTTTTTCTTGCTATTGCCTCCCTTCTTGCCCCCAACTTACCTTTCCTCATCCAAAATAATAGAACCATCTTCTGCCACTTTTACTCGAGGAACCAGCAATGGCCCATCATCAGCCTCTTCTTCTGCTTCTTCATTTACTTCAGCATTAGTAGTACTCTTATTTTCTTGCCTATTAAAAGTAAAAACAGTACCCTCAACAGGATGAACTTCTAAAATAAATTATGTTCTATTCCATTTTCAAGCTATTTCAATTTTTCCCTATAATTAATTAAAAATACAAAATGTTGTTGTAACGGTCATTAAGATTTCCTCAAAATTTACTCAGTTAGCATTCAGAATTAAGCATTTATTTTCTCAAAATGAAAGAAATAAATTACTGTTTTCCATCTAAGCCAAAGAACAATGTAAACCATTCAGTTAAAATGGAATTAACAATAATGTCTTAAGGTTATATACCATTACTTTCCAGAACATTTAATTATTCTTCAGAAAAAATCCTTTAGGGTTTGTTCATACAAATTTGATGCTTACATAAGATAAATAACTACTATTCTAAGTTACACATAGTAAGACTAGAGCCAGATGTCAAATAACAGATTTCAAAATAATGATCCAAATCTCATACAGGTTCTATTTTATCATATGGTCTCCTTAAGTTTTTATTAAAGCAAATATAGCATTAAACCTATAAACATAAACATTTTTTAAGGCTTCAAAGTTTTATTTTAAATAATGTGGGTCCTGGGTCAAATTGTAATCACTAAACAACTCTTGAAATAACAACCAAATGACTCCCAACATTACTGCTAGTTTTCAACAATCCTTCACTCTGAATTACAAAGCTACTTACTGTCACAATGGGCTTTTGGAGGGGTTTTTTGGAAATAAACTAATATAGGACAGTATTAATATGTAGTACAAAAGAACTGGGCTACCAGGGGAGCTCTGATGGCATAATGGTAAGGAGCTGTGTTGCCATCACAAAAGCACATGATTCGAATCCACCAGCTTCTCCTTGGGAGAAGATGGGCAATCAACTCCTGTGCAATTTACTGCCTCTGAAAACTCACTAAAGGGTCAGCTACATGTGGGTTCTGAACCAATGGCACATAACAATAACAGAATTATACCTAGTGGTAAGTATAATCCTAGGGATAACAAAACTGTTCAACTACAAGAGTGTGTATGTCTGTATTTAGGAGAGAGCAGGAAGTAAGAATAGAACGAAAGGGATAGGGAGGAACAGAAAAGATATAAAACCTTGCTTGGGTTTGTGAGGCAAGAATTGGAATGATACACTGAAAAATATCTGTAAATTTGTTGTCTCCAGGGAGATGAACTAAATGGCAAAAGAACAGAGCTAGGAAGACTCCTAAACATATGCTTTACTTCCATTTAAATACATTATTAATCTAAAACAAAACAAAACCAAAAAAAGTCTTAATTTGAAAAGCATGAATTTAAACTGAAAAAACTGATTTCTCACATATAATACAAGGCACTCTGGTAGCACAGTGCATTAGATGTTGTGCTTCTATATAAAGTTTAGGGATCTGAAATCACCAGCCACTTGGCAGAAAAATATAGACAGTTTTTCCTGTTTGAGTCTCAAAAACTCAATAAAGGGCTGCTATGAGTAAAAATCAACTCGAAGGCATTGATTCTATATTTTATATAAGTATGTGTATGTGTATACACACACACAATTTCGTGTGTGCATGTGTGTATATAGATAGATAGATAGATACATACATACATACATACATACATACACACACATACATACATACACACAAAAATTATTTTATGTATATATACCAGGGATCTCTGGTGGCCTAGCATTTAAGGAGTTAAGGAGTTAGTCAATCCAAAGGCAGGCTTTTCAAAGCCACCAAGTCTCTGCTAAAGGAAGATTGGCAGTCGGCTCCAATGTGATTTACAGACTCTGAAAGCCCACTGGAGAGCCAGCTGTGAGTCGGTTCTGATTCAACAGCATTCACCAAATGTAGGTTTTATATATACAACAGAAAGAACACTTTCATTTCATTTTGTACAAAATGTAACCAAAACAGTATTCTTTTTAAAAAGCATACACTGCTTACTCTCTTGTCTGGACTGGTGTTGATTTTTCCGTTTTCTTTTCTTGTTCCAGTGAAGAACTATTAAATACAAATAACAAAATATTTTAAGATAAATTATTCATTTATATCTTGTTAATTCTAACAGCAGACAAGGTGATTAGTTTTACTTCCACGTTATTGTTATTTTTATTTGTATTTTCTTTTTATGATATACAATTTTTATGAATGATTCAATCTAATTATCAATATTTGAGTCAAAATTTTGTCACCAAATGCAAGTAATGTATAAGCCCATAGATCAGTAGTGTAGTTTCCAGTGCAGAGGCATAAAGCAACCTAGATGGTCTACTTCCAACGTCCATATGTGAAACAACGCAAAACCTAGATCTCCAGCCTTTCCTTCAACAAGGACAAAGACCTAATGAATCAAGAGCCTATATACTAACGAAAATGCCACTACTCCTACCTCCACTTGCATCAATAACACAACAAGGAAGAGATTGAAGTTATGACAAACTCTCTGTCCTCTTCACTTAAAAAATTTTGTTCCTGGGGAAATTATTAATCAAATTGCCACTATATGAAGAAAGAGAGCAAAAAACTAATTCATCTCTTAGTATCAAGTTAGAAAAGATAAATTATAGTCTTGATTATGGAAAAGTAGTTGCTTATTTGATTTTAATATGTCCTGTTGTTATTGTTGTTGTTGTGTGCTGTCAAGTCTCCTGCAACCCTATGTACAACAGCTCTCAAGCCTGCCCTGTCCTGAATCAATCTGACTCTGACACATTTACTCCCACTGCCCCAGTTACTTGCATCCATCCATCCTAGTAATCAATAGTAACCCCAAAATATCCTTATTTTTAATCTGAGATGAAGGGCATCACTTTCCACATCAATCAAGCAGGCAACTGAAACATCATTCATTTACGCTACACAGTCTATCTGAATGTTATAAATTTTGTCAACATACTTTTGGGAAATAGAAACCAATCAAAACATAGTATTTAAATAATTTCATACTCAAAGTAACAAGAAATTATACTTACGTCATTGGATTGCTATTTGGCAGATAATATATGAAATCTCTCATTGTCATTTTTGAACGATCCAATGGTTTCTGGCTTTCATTTAATGCATATTTGTTCTTCCATTGTTTCTGTATGTACAAACACATGGATTCACTATTTTTTTTACTATTATTTTATAAATACAGAATTTCAGCTGTTCCACATTTAAGTATAAAACCTACTGTTACTTTCATTGCCAATACATCAGTAATATTCCCATTTCACTACCATATTCTAGGTAGAAAAACCAGTTAATTTAAAATTAAAAGGTATAGCAAATGAAGGAATTTTAAAAATTAAAGGAATCTATAACTAGTATTGAATAAAAGCTGAACATATTAAAAAGAAAGCTCAACATATAAAAATCATGTTACTGATGCATTCTAAGCACAACAGTACACTGAAAATGTATAAATAGGTATCTTTTACTCATACTGCAATGAATAGCAACTGTGTATTTTTTAATTCTTGAAGCAATATCAGTTTTTAATTTCTCAAAATGTATAACTAAATGTTTTTATTGTTGTTATGTGAGTCTATCACCTGCAACTCATAGCCACCCTATGTACAACAGCCCTAAACCCTGTTTTCTGTCCTGTGCCAATCTCATTATCTCTGACACACCTACCCCCATTACCCCAGTCACTGAATTAATCCATCTCATAGAGGGTCTTTCGGCACTGTCCTTCCATCCTCCCAAGCATGACATCCCTCTCCAAGGGCTGGTCCCTCCTTGCAACATGTCCAAAGTATGTCAGACGAAGTTTCAGAATCCTTGCCTCCAAGGAGCAGCCTGGCTTCATTCTCTCCAGGATAAACTTGTTTGTTCTCTTAACAGTCCATAGTATATTCACTACTCTTCTCCAACACCACAGGTCAAAGATATCTATTCTCCTTCTATCATCCCTAGTCATTGTCCAGCTCTCTGATGCACAACAAGTGATTGCAAAGACCATGTCCTATATCAGGTGCACCTTATTCTCCAGAATGACGTCATTGCTCTTCAGTACTTTACAGAGGTCTCTAACGGAACTTTCGCATCGCAATACACCTTTGAATTTCCTGGCAGCTAGTGCCAAGAATGTTGATTTAGCAAACTAAAGCTGTGAACAATCTTAATCTCTTCACCATCCATCATGATGCTGCCAAACTGCCCAGTGGTAAGAATCTTTGTTTTCTTGATATTGAAACCCAATCCATACTGAAGGCTGCAGTCCCTGACCTTCCACACCAAGTGCTTCAGGTTCTCCTCAGTTTCAGCAAGCAAGGTTGTGTCATTTGCATAACACAGATTGTTGATGAGTCTTCTTCCAATCCTGATGCCACACTTCTCCTCCTAGAGTCCAGCCTCCTGGATAATCTGTTCTGCATAAAGATTGAAAAGGTATGGAAATAGGACACATCCCTGCCGTACACCTTTCCCAATTTTGAAACATGCTATCTTTCCTTGCTCTGTTCTAACAACTGCCTCCTGGTCCAAGCATAGGTTTCGCATTAAAACGATCAAGTGTTCTGGGATTCCCGTTCTTCTCAGAGTTAGCCACAGTTTGTTGTGATCCACACAGTCAATGCCTTTGCAGAATCAATGAAATACAGATAGACATTCCTCTGGTACTCCCTGCTTTCAGCCAAGCAGACACTAGTGGTTGGAACAAGGAATGTGAGAACTACGAATGTAGGAAAATTTGATACTGTTAAGGAAAAAATGGAATGCATAAATATTGACATACTAGGTATTGGTGAGATGAGATGCGCTGGCATGGGACATTTTGAATAAGATGATTATATGATCTACTATGTTAGAGATGACAAGGTTAGAAAAAATGGGGTTGGTTGCTTTCATAGTTAAAGAAGTCATTTCTAGATGCATCTTGAAATACAATATTGTGAATGGCAGGAAAATATCCATATGCATAAAGGAAGTCCAGTGAATACAACTATCATTCAAATATATGTACAACAACCAGAGCCAAAGAAGAGGAAATAGATTTCTACTAACTTTTGCAGTCAGAGATCAATTAAACATGTAATCAAAATGCATCCATGATGTGTGACTGGAATGCAAAAGTTGGGAACAGAGAAGAAGGATCAGTAGTTGGAAAGCATGGACTTCGTGAAAGAAATGAAGCTGGAGACAGGACAGAATTTTGCACAATGACTTATTCACTGCAAATACATTTTATAAGAGACACAAACGCAGGTTATACACATGGATTTCACCTGATGGTATGCATAGGCATCAGATAGACTACATCTATGGAAAGAACCACTGGAGAAGCTCAGTATCAGCTGTGAAAACTATGCCAGGTGCTAACTGTGAAACAAACTACCAACTACTTATATGCAAGTTCAAGCTAAAGCTAAGGAAAGTGAAACCAAGTCCACAGGAACCAAAATACAAAAGTGACTGATCAATTAAATAGATTTAAAAAAATATTTTAATGGTAGGGGAGCTCTGGTGGCCTAGTGGCAAGAAGCTGCACTGCAATTCCAGAGATATGCGGTTCAAATCTACCAGATGCTCTGCCGGAGAAGGGCGGGCAATCTCCTCCTGTACCAGTAAGATCTAATTTGACGGTATACACACAAAAAATAATAAAATATTTAAAAAGAATATTTTAAAGGCTTATGTCTGAATACATATGGATTCATATCCTGTATCTTACAGTGTGTGATACAAAGAAATTATATCCTTGGGCTTTTTGTCTTGTGTAAAGTAGTGAAATCGAATTTCATACTTGAGAAAATTAAATAGCAATATAAAGAACCAAGCAAAGGTACCCTCACTTTAAAAAAAGGACTCAGAAATTTTAAGAGCTAGCATCTATTAGGCACTTACTATTCACTGGGCACAAATCTAAAGTTAAGGAGCCCTGGTAGCACAGTTTGCTACATGTAGGACTGCTAATCAAAACGTCAACAGTTCAAATCCATCAGAGCTCCGTGGGAAAAGACAGCCTCCCTATAAAGATTTTAGAGCCTCGGAAACCCAGTGAACAGTCTCCATGAGCTAGAACTGACAGGGCAGCAGAAGGAGCAGCCCTAGTGACACAGTCTATAAGGAACTACACTGCTAACCCAAAGGGTTAGCACACCTCTCTGGCAGTTTTAATCCACCAACTGCTACTCGACGGGAGCTCTCCTCCCATGAGAGTGACAGCCTTGGGAATCCAGCTGAGGCAAAGCTATGAGTCAATTTCACCTCAGTGGCAATGAGTGACTTAGTGGCATTTTGGTTTGAGGGCTTAGTTAAGGGGTTAAAAAACAGCAAATGCTCAACAGAAGACAGATACAACAATCTACTTTTATAAAGATTTACCATAGTTTTTTTGTGGGTTTTTTTGATTGGTTTTTTTTTTAAGATTTACCATAGTTTTAAGTAGCTCCTTGAAAGCTTTTCAAAAATAAAGAAAGCAAGCTTTTTAAACCTATTCTGGGCAGTTCTAGTTGTCCTACAGGATTGACATGAGTAAAAACCGAAGTAATTCAACAAATAAATGGATAGAGAAGCTGTGGTATAGTCACACAATGGACTACTATGCTGCATTGAAAAACAAGGAACTCATGCAATATTATTCAAAATGGGTGAGCCTGGAGGACATTATGCTGAGTGAGATATCTCAGTTGCAAAAGGAAAAATATTGCATGGTGCCACTGCTGTAAAATGGGACTGATATCAGGGTGGGGGTAAGACTGAGAAAAACTGGATAAACTGTGTATACCGCACT